TCTAAGGCTACGTCTAGACTGGCATGATTTTCCGCATTTGCGGAAAAGAGCGTCTAGATTGGCACGGATGCTTTTCCGCAAATGCACTTTTTGCGGAAAAGCATCCATGCCAATCTAGACGTGGTTTTGCACAAGAAAGCCCCGATCGCCACTTTCGCCATCGGGTTTTTTTGCGCAAAAGCAGTTTTCAGCTGTCTACACTGGCGCTTTTGCGCAAAAGCATTTCCGGAAAAGGGCTTTTGCCCAAACGGGAGCAGCATAGCATTTCTGCAAGAACACTGACAATCTTACATGAGATCGTCAGTGTTCTTGTGGAAATTCAAGCGGCCAGTATAGACAGCTGGCAAGTTTTTCCGCAAATGCTTTTGCGGAAAAACTTGCCAGTCTAGACACAGCCTAAGAGTCCAATAAGCAGTGTAAGTGTTAGTAATGCTGCTAGACAGTATTGACTTCCCATGATTCAACAAGTTCTCTGGTTCAACGCCTGTCCGATCCCAAGGGTGCCAGACAGGAGAGGTTCAACTTGTAGTTTGTTTTCTGCTTTTCCAAACTGACAGGGAAGAGAGATGAAAAAGTGAAGACAACTACATGTACCATCTTGTAAAATGATATCCCCAATGCTACTGATTGGTCATAGAACTTATTACAGTTATCACATACAAAAAAGGGTTAAACTGCTGCTGCGTCTGAGTCCAATAGCTGCCATTCTTACAAAAGAAAAAAAAACACAAATTAGGCTTATCCCACCATCTCCACTTTTCTTTTTCCTTTCCGTCCATGTAGAAAGGAAGCCTGAAAGCAATGTAAAATGCAGATAAAAACCTTAGAAATTCGGGACATGGATACCACAGAAGACAGAGAACTAGTGAAATCATGTCATTACAAGAGGCAAAATTGAGAGCTGAGAAAATTGAAAGGGAAATGCTTAATTAGCACTTCAAGGGAAAGGATGGTTGGTCAGTTAAAGATTCAGCACTGTTGCCTCTTCACAGCTGAAGTGCACAAGTTCAGTATATCCACCAAGTGGTCCTCCAGCAACAAGGATAAATTATATAAAATATTACTGATATTTCTACAGTCTCACAAGTTCATCATTCTTTTTTAACCTTCCATCTATACGCCTTCCGACCCTCAAAACTTTCTATCAACATGCTTTGGAAGCTGGTGAAGCTGAAGGGAGCCATAATGCTGCCCAAAATTTATGTTGGGACTGTACTCATGCAAAACCTGTCCCCAAGATTGAAAAGCCACAAAGAGTTCTTCTGCAGCTTCCCCGTAAATCTGTGCCCAGAGCTCAGTAAATGCAGGTGAGCTTCTGACGTATGGAGTGAGAAGATGCTGTACATAATGTATTGCAGCACATCTTACAGATACGAGAGCATGAGGGCAGCTGCATCAAATTTTGGACATGAAAGCTCCTTGCAGCTGGCAAAACTCAAGAGTACTTACGGTAACAGAAAAGGCCTTGAAAAGAGCACAGCACGCAACAACTCCAATTGAGAACATCCTCAATGAAAGCTGCAGAGTGATAAGTGCCTGTGGACATCTGGCACAAATAGTAGGTTCTGGGAATTTCTGAAGATCTAAGCCAAGGGGATAAATCTGTCCTTGCATGTGCAGGTTTATTGCCCATTGCCATCAAATATATAGCCATAAAAATGGGTTTAAGAGCACAAATTTTGGCTAACATTCTTTTACAATCTGTAACTAGTAGAACTTATTAGCTTGTCAGTTCAACAAATAGGTTTATAATGATCACACTCAGTTTGTACCACACATCTTTAATGAAAACAAATAGTTACATGTTTATAAATATACTTGTATAGTGATACAACCAGTGACAAGGTATGATTTAAGTAGACAAGATATGTAATGTTGTTGTAAGGCAAGACAAATTACATTTCTATTCACAGGCTTCAAAAAAGAGCAAAGGCATTAAAAACCCAAAACTCAACTTTGTATTCTACTGACATGAAATAATGGAAAAAAAACTAGAAACAACAAACCAAGATTAACTTTTAAGTGCAAATATTACAGAAAATACTAATATCAAATCCAATTTACCAGTCCATGTTCAGAAGACAACTTTTTAAAAATAATATCAAAGTGAATCAAAATAAAACACAAAGTATTACAAGTTGCATATGTTGCTAAAAGAATGTGGTCTTAAACAGCTAGTATTCATTTTGATTAGTGATAGAAACAATTTATGTAACCGTGTAAAAACAAAGTTTGGTTCAAACCATTTTAAGAGTGGAAGACACCTTATAATATAGGCTTTAGCCCTGCAATTGGATCCAGGCAGGCCGGCCTTTCCATTTGAATAGAGATCCTTGGATTACCCAGAGGTGAAGTCTTGGTTCTACTGAAAAAAAAGTATTTCACCCAAGGCGACTGCTCACATAGAACTGATTGAAGGATCAATGTCACAATTTGTTAGGATCTACACCAGCAAAGCACTTAAGCATATACTTAAACTTTCAGTATGAGAGTAATCCTTTGACTTCAGTTCTACTATGTGTTTAACTAGAAGCACAAGTTTAAGAACTTTGCTGGATGAAAGCCTTAATACTATGAAGTGTATTTTTAAGATGTAAAAGAATAAATATTACAATATTAATAAATAACATCAATACCATATTTTGGGGGGGCTCAAACAAAGCAGCTTATTTTAATAGCATTGCAGAAGGGATGTGATATACCCAACCTTTTGAAATGCTATATTTTAGTATCAACTATAAAGGGCATGATCCTGCCCCACTAAGTCACCTGGGCTGCGTCTAGATTGGCATGATTTTCTGGAAATGCTTTTAACGGAAAACTTTTCCGTTAAAAGCATTTTCAGAACAGAGCGTCTAGATTGGCACGGACACTTTTCCGCAAAAGCACTTTTTGCAGAAAAGCGTCCGTGCCAATCTAGACGCGCTTTTCCACAAAAAAGTCCTGATGGCCATTTTTGCGAATGGGAGCAGAATAGTATTTCCGCAAGAAGCACTGATTTCTTACAGTAGGAAGTCAGTGCTTTTGCGGAAATTCAAGAGGCCAGTGTACACAGCTGGCAAGTTTTTTGGAAAAGCAGCTGATTTTCCAGAAAGACTGGCCAGTCTCGACACAGCCCTGAAGTTTTACCACTGATTGCAGCAGAGCAGGATAAGGCCCACAATGCAAACATTATTTAAGACATACATTTTTCTTACCGAGTCCTTTCATATGGTACTACAGCTACAATAGACTGATGCAGGAACATTAACATTTCAAGTTAATCTCTTAAAAAAATAGGTGTCACAATATTGCATAGAAAAAATCCCTGGTATAAATATGCTTACACTGGATATGGAGGCCTTTTGCCTGCATTTTACTAGAACAAAGCCCATATATTTTAAATAGTACAATTCACATTTAACGATGATGTCCTTGACTAAGTTCTTTGGAATTGCTAGTGTTTGTATTATTTCAAGAACATTTTTATTCTGCATGCTGTTAAGTATTAAAAGACAATACACATTTTGTGTGCTTGAGTTTTACAGCAAATGTAACTATTTCCACTCCCTAATTTTATAGTGAAAATGTTTGTGAAGCCTTAGAACAACTTCAGAACTAAAATATTTTCATTTCAGTGATGTACTTAGTATGTTATCTGGTGATCCTTTCATGTATTAGAGGTTGTACAAATAAGTTGCTGACAGTTTACAAACTCATTAATGTTCTGCTAAAAAGCCATGCACATTAATTTAAAAGTAAAGAAATTTTGTTCAGAGACAATATGTTTCTTATAGTGAACACTTGAATTTCATGGTACAGAATGTGCAAACAAATAAAATCCATCTATAAATATTATGATGTATAATGCACCATACAAGCAACTGAAACACATATTTAAAGGAGGTGTCAACTCTACACACATTAGCCTCATAAAAAACTAGAATTTCTGATTCCACCTAGTATATTTAAAATTATGTTTAGAAGAGGTGCACATGTTGAATAAATATATTTTATAACAAATTATGATCATAGTATTAATTCTAAACATGAGAATGACATGGTTTTATAGGATTACCAGGAAGACACATTTCTCATTAGAACACCTTTCATCATTACAATATGGGAAAGTAGTACAGGTAGAACCTCTCTAGTCCAGCAGCATCTATGGCCCAGCATGATATTAACAGTCCCATTAAGTTTGTTTATAGCCATCAGTCCCAGGTCTCAGTGTTCCGTGCTATTATTTAGCTCTAATTTACCCCTAAATGTCTTTTAAGAGCTCAGTAAGCAGTGGAAGTGTTAGTAATGCTGCTAGACAATACTGACCTCCCATGGTTTGGCAAATTCTTTGGTTCAGCACTAGTCAGGTCCCAAGTATGCCAGACTAGAGAATTTCAACCTATACCTAATCATTCTGGCTGCTGCAGACACTGGATTGCTGGCACAGTAGAAAAAATATATGAACAATAGTATGTATTCTTAGGTTTTTGTTATGAATTGCATTTTAATGGGAAAGTCATAAATTGACTGTTCAAAAAAGAAAATTAATGAAGGAACACATTAAATTTCTTATTAGTCATCCTTGAAAGGCACCTAAAATTCATTTTATGTTTGAATATAAGTTATAAAACAAATTATGAATGTTGTTATAAATTAATTTACATTTAGAATTATATAGATTTAACAGATTTTGTTTCTGTAGGCTCTATCAAAACATGCTTCAAGTATCTGATAAAAGACCAAGGTTATGCATGAACAAACTTCTATTCATTTCAGTGAGTTATTTTCTCCATTCACAAAATCAACTGTGTGTTTATCCTTGTGTTTAACATGCAGAGGCACAGGTATCTATACTCAAAAATAGATTTATTATCTGACTGTTGTGAGTATATGCAAGTAAAAATTAGCTTAACTTAAACAATTATATTGAAATTGACTGTGCCAATATTCCAGTTATTGATTTAAAATACTAATGGGCAGTACTATGATTAGCTAATTAAGGTTTAGTTTATAATTACCTGAGTGTCACATTTCCTGGCATTCTGTTAAGGATTTCTAATAATCACCAAAAGAGCTGGAAAATATAGGCATAAACGGCATTAGAATCACATGTAACAAATTACAGAGTTAAACGTGAAGCAGCAGACATTAATGTGCATCATACATACAGTACAATTTGACTTACAGTATAAAGTACCATTATATTGTACAATACATAACATGGCACATTTCATAAAGCTGCAATTCTTGCACTGTAAACAGATACATTTTTACATCTACAAAAGACAAAAATAATGAAAAATTTTACTTAAAAGTAAAATGTCATTAAATGTTATTGCCTTGGCAAGGTCATTCTATTATCACTTGGAAAGGATGCTGTGATAGGTCAACCACCTCACAGCTGACAACTTCTTTAGAAAATATCATATTTGAAAACATTCATCTAGTCCTAAAAAATACTTTTAATGCTTTACCTTGGCAATATAATATTACCTTTGTTTTGTGAGAATATATACTGTACACATTTGGATTTTAAAAAAATGTGCCTGCTTCTACTCTCATTAAAGTCAATGGAAGTGTTGTCATTAACTTCAAAGGGAGCAAATTCAGGTCTAATTTTTTCAAAGATGTTATATTTACAAATATTGGATTGAATGCCATTGCTTTCATTTTTCTCTCTCCTACCTATCACAGTGCTCTGTAGCAACCCAGAGATGGCATTAGATTGAGCATATAAACTGATGGTAAACATACGTAAATGTTGCACCTTGGGGAAATAATAATGCTCACTATCAGTGCAACTAAAAAATTTTATTGGAAGTCTTCATACAGTTTCCTTAAAATACATTATTTTAATAAAAATTAAACTAATTCAATGCATGATTGAAATACTGTAACTTTAGCATATCACTGATATGATTTAAATGCTCAGCAATGAGCCTGCTTTTGCTACCACTAAAATCAATCGTAAAACTCTTCAGTCAAAGCAGGGCCCAATATCAGCATCCCAAAATCTAGAGAAATACACACAGTGTAGGTGCTGTTAACTAGATTTTAATATAAGTTTTTAGAAAACTACTGCCTATACTTACAAAGTTGGAGTCAATCATGCAAACACACATATCTAACTTTAATACCATGCATATTCCTACTGAAGTCAATCAGCCGTCCAATGAAGTCAACAGAGTTAGGGTACAGCTATACTACACAGTTTTTCCGGGATACCTCTGGTATCCCAGAAGAACTGTTCCGCATCCAGGGAACACATTTGCTCTTCTGTTCCACGAGGAATAAGGAGGCTTTCAAAATAGAGGTTTTTCCTGATATTTGGCCCAGTCTCGATGGGCCAAATGTCGGAAAAACCTCTTCCAACAAAAGAATCGAAAAAAGCTATGCAAATTGTGGAACGCATTTTGTGTAGCTTTTTTCAAACAAAAGTGACAGTGTAGCCATACCCTTACTGAGATGTGTAGACAAACAAAAACATAAGTGTTTGCAGGACCTAGGACCCAATTTCCAAAAACACTTTTAGCTCTGCCCAGCTCTGAAAGGCAAAACAAATTGATAAGAGACAGTTGGCTTGCAAGTTGGATCTTGCCGTGTACATTTTAAAGGGGGAAACCCTATTAACCCATCCTGCTAATCTGATACAATGAATTTACAATACCTCTGCTGCATAACACACACATAGCTTTCCTGAATATATAAGTTCACCTTCCAGATTTATATTTGAAAAGTAATAGAACAAAATCAATAAAGTATTTCAGCAATATTGCACAACTTGCACATTTATTTATACCTCAATTCTGCGAGCACAACTTCAGTTGAAAGCAACTGCATTTTCACCTACATTAGGACAGCAGTTCAAGCCTAAAAGTCAGAACTATTGTGTGTTGACTATCAAACCAAGCTAAAAATATAACCTGATAATTAATATTTGGTGCATATGCATCATTTGTAGCATTTCTAAATTTTTAAAAAATAAGATTCAGTTTATGAGAATAGGTATTTAACTTTTAAAGGTCTAGATTATGAAGTAATCAAACAGCACTTAGATACTTTCTCTTCAAAGAGGTTTCAGAGGTTAGTCTGTAACTTTCGTTCTATTTGAGATAACTGTTTCAAATCACTGTAAGTCCAATAGAGCTGAAATTGGTTGTCATAGTATTCATATTTCCAAAGCTATTTAAAAACTATATTACTATAAATCTTTTCAATCTTTATACAGAACATCTCCACCATAAGTCACCCTGGCATACATCCGTTCCACACTAACGTCGTTGACACTTGTAGGAATTGATGCATTGTAAGTTTTCCCATTTCCTGCTCTTAAGTTGCGCAAAAAAAGTTGCACAAATGGAAGTCACCCATGGGAAAAAAATTCCCCACTTTGTTTTGCTACAAGTTCAAGTTTTTGGAACATATCTTGGAGTTATAGCAAGGACGGCCTGGAAATAAATAATGGCATATATTACGTTTTATATGGATAGATGCTAGCCATTTTTTGAAATAGCAGCATTTCCACGTGATTAATAATCTGAATAACAGACTTCTGTATAACTGTATCTATTCCCAAAAGTCTAAGCAAAAATAAGTCAGAAAGGCATAACATCATCATAGATATGTAATAGAGATGTAGCCGTGTTAGTCTGGTCTTGCTGAAACAAAAGACAGGATTATGAAGCACTTTAAAGACTAACAAGATGGTTTATTAGGTGATTGTGGAAGGAAATTGACATGACCATACATATTAAAGGGTTACAATAAAAAAAAAGTGAACACATACATTTGACAAATCAGATTTTAGAACAGTCACTTTTTTTTAAATTATATCCTTTGGTATATATGGTCATGCCTATTTTCTTCCACAATTTGATCTGAGGAAGTGGGTCTGGCCCACGAAAGCTCATCACCTAATAAACCATCTTGTTAGTCTTTAAAGTGCTGCATAGTTCTGTCTTTTGTATCGACATAGATATTTGCCAAGTGCTTCCTCAATTTCCAAAAAGTGCTCTTAAATGAATAATAGCCTCTCTCTCTCTCGCATACTAAGGCTCTTATAAACAGGTTAACTGAAAAATATTTAGGCTATCCTTATCAAAATATATTCCTTATATAATTTAAAATCATAAACAACGTAAGGCCTTGTTTCGACAAGCATGTGGACACTTAGCTTTACACACACAGTGCATAGATTAAAACACATGCATAAATGTTTGCAGGATCAGGGCCTAATATTACCAATTGTGAAATACACAATAGAACCTTGATAATATATTCCCATTACACATCTCTATTAAAATTAAAGGGATTGGAAAACTGATTTGATAAATAATAATAAAAACCAATATGAAAAAAATGCCTTTTTTCCTATTATTTCATGGGACTAAAAGCCTATGCAACTGAAATCAGGTGAGAAATCATCTTCTCATGACATTTCCAGCACAGTTCTTCAGACTCAAGAGATTTATGCTGTAAACAATCAAACTTTTGGATCTTTGAATCAACTCGAAACTGAAAACCTTGGGAATCATCCTGCGACATGTGGAGCATGATCGGAAAGATGATCACTGCTCTGTTCTCCCACTAAAGTCAACTGAAGTCGAGGGAGCTCTGCAACAGCATTATAATAGATCAAGCTGCTTTGGAAATTTGACTGTTATTACTGATATAAAAGAACATATACAAATGTCCATAAAACTCCATCCTAATTCAAACCAAAAAGTTTAGGGTTTGATCCTGATTCCCACATTCACTTGAATAGTTTCATTAAAGTCAGATCACCCACATGAGTAATGTGTGCAAAAGCCTCTTTCTCTTTCTCTCACACACACACCTGTAAGTGGTTACACACACACTCTCTCTCTCTCTCTCTCTCTCTCTATCTATCTACCTGTAAGTGATTGCAGAACCAGGGCCCTAATTTTACCTCAGTACAATTCATATGCAGCTAAGCTTCTAAATAAAATTTTAAAATTAAAAAATATTCTGGCCTTATTCACAGTTAATAAAATGCTAAATGCCGACTGAAAGGCAGATATAAACATACGCTTTAAAGTAATTTCACATCCTCTAAGTGAATTGGCATCTAGGAAAAAAACCCCAAAGGACAGCAAAATTGTGTTTCAAGGATGTATGCAAGACCTCAAAGAAATGAACATGGATGTGGTCAACTGGAAAGATAACTCTCAGGACCACAGCCTTTGGAATCAAGAGCCTTTGGAATCTCTGGAGTTCTGAGGAAGCAGACCTGCTTAGCAGAGAAGAAAAGAAAAAGTCTCTGCCACACCTGTCACATTTAATGGTGGTGTTTCTACCCAGAGTCAAAGTAACAGGCACCAATGGATTCCTGTGTTCACACAGAACTACACTAACGTTAATGGGGCACTGAGCAGGAGTCCAAGTTGTTTATGATTTTGCTGGATTGGGGGTGTACTTCAGTCTGAATACTCAGATGAGCTAGAGATGCAGGATCAGGCTCATTTTCACGTGTCCTCTATGTTCCTAGGGGCTAATCCAAGTTCCCTCTCTTTTAATGGGAGCTGAATTTGGTCTCCAAATCACTGGAGTTGGATTGATTGCATTCTAAGTTCCCAGTGCTGACTAGCAGCTAGAGGCCATATAAACACAGAGTTTATTCTGCAATTATTCAATACATACTTCACAGTAACGCCTACTAGAACAACAACAAAAATGAAGTAAGCTTGAGGTGGAACACACAAGTTACAGTACAGGACTTTTATACTGCTTATGCTTTGTTTTGATGTGTTGATTCTTTCAAAGACGTTTGAAATGTTTTCCCCCTAAATATAGTAAAATAAGAAAATATAAATAAATTTATATTTATTTGTAAACAAAATTCAAAAATAGCTTCTAGCGATATATAAATAAGCATTTTAAAACTAAGACGGTGACTAACCGCAGGGCAAACGATGCCTGTGAGAAAAGTGGCAGAATTACAGTGGACCGGAGAAATGACAAGGCAGAAGAGGAGAACTGTAGACACCACTGAAAATTACTTGAGATTCCCCAAGATCTCGTAGAAAAGCTCCTCAGGGATAGTTCCCGTATACCGAGTGCAATTGGTAGGGGCCCAAAGCGTACTTCCCCGTCCCTGGCCACGGAGCGACTCGCGGCTGTCCTGCCAGCGCACTAGCGAACCGGCGCCCTGTGGGCTCAGCACAATGCCCGCTCCATGCTCCAGGGGGTCCCTGTCACGTCCATGGCGGGAAATTCCTCCCCCAAGCGCACGGGCGGAGCGAAAGGCGCCCGGCGGAGCGGCCAGGCTGCCGGCTCGGGGGAGGTGGCCCCGGAGGGAAGGAGGGAGGCAGACCGGCTCTCCCCCGAGAGGGCAGGCGACGCACGACGGTCCGGCCGCTCAGATGAAGTGGATCCAGGCGCCGCCGTCGGGCTCCTGGCTCGGGGAAGTGGCGGCCCGAGCGGTGCGCTGGCGGCCCCGCAGCCGGTAGTTGAGCCCCGCGTTGTTGTCCCAGTACTC